AAGTGTAAAAATAACATACAATATTTGATTAACACATGTTTCTTTAAGGTAAAGAAAAAGCAAGATGGTTTCCACTTGATTCCAAGATGCAGTCAGAATTCAGCCACCCTGGGAATGCGGAAGCAGAGACCTCATGGAGAAACCACATGTAGGCGTGCCTGTTGACAACCCCAGCTGAGATCCCAGCCAACAGCCCAGCATAACCTCAGACATGTGTTAAAGTAAATTAAAATGAAGACCAGGCCTAAAGAATCGCTGAGCAGACAAAACCAGTTAGGCCTCACAAAAAAAAAAAAAGAAAGAAAAAAGAAACAGCAAGATGGTTTTTCTTCAAAGAAAGAAGAAAGAAGAATTCTTATCTTTCTTCAAAGATAAGAATTAAAGTAAAATAATATAATAAGTGGCACATATTACCAAGATAAAATACTACCCAAATATTAAGTAATAAAACAAGATATATCCTTAATATAAAAACAAGGAAAGAAAAGGTAATGAAACTCGATTGAAGGCAATCAAGTTGAAGAACTCCTTGAACACATTCTGGATGAAGTCTCATTGACCAGGTAGTTCCCTGCCCACCTGGCCACTAGGAGTCTTAAGGATCAATGATGGGTTATACTGCAGGGAAACTCAGGTGAAATTGAAGGCCCCACATACTTCCGTACATAGATAAAGTCAGAGTTGTTCCACAATAAAAAAAAAAAAAATGCTTTTGAAGGTTAAATATAGACAATGAATCTAGAAAGAAAAATTAACTGCTTATTAAATCTATTTTGTCTTTTATCTATATGTCTAATTGGTAAAAAATATCATTATTTGCAGGTAAGATTCATTAACATGATCATAGTCACATTATAAGAAAATCGTTCACTTTACTGGGCTTATTTTAGTAGTAAGCTCCTTATAGCATTTAAATTATGATTCAATACCTATGTAAGTGTTCAAGTATAAAGTTCAAATATCTCTTAATGAATATCCAAAGTAAGAAAACATGAAGGTTAATGTTGATTATTGAAATCAAGGGTCATCAACTTTTTCTGTAAGACTAGATAGTAAACATTTCAGGCTTTCTAGGACATACAGTTTCTGTTGTAACTACTCAACTTCGCTGTTGTAGTATGAAAGCAGCTGTAGAAAATATATAAATGAATTAATAGGGCTGTGTTCCAATAAAATTGTATTTACAAAAGCAGACTCCTGCGTGGATTTGGCCCTTGGGCTATAGTTTGCCAATCCCTGGTTAAAATGATCTTTACATGAATGATGTTAATCATATGACCTATTACACAAGTCTAATAGCATAAAACTTATAATTTTTTATTTTATTTAAGTGTGAAACAGTTATAGTAGTTATTGAATATCATGTACTTTTTTCTTCTTGGAGACAGAGTCTCATTCTGTTGCTCAGGCCAGAGTGTAGTGGCATCATCATAGCTCACTGCAACCTCAAACTCCTGGGCTCAAGGGATCCTCCTGCCTCAGCCTCTAGAGTAGCTGGGACTACAGGCATATGCCATCACACCCAGCCAATTATTTGAAATTTTTTTGTAGAGATGGGGTCTCACACTATATTATCCAGGCTGATCTCAAATTCCCGGCCTCAAGTGATCCTCCCACCTTGGGTTCCCAAGGTGTGGGATTACAGGCGTGAGCCACCACATGCAGCCCATGGACTGGTTTTGATTATAAGAATGCAATTAGAATTTATCTTTGAAGTTCATTTGGCAATCTCAATTCTATTTACAACTGAATGCCCATAATAAATTACAATTTTTTTTAAGCTTACCTTGGTAAAGTTAAGTGAATGAATAAAATAACTAAAGAACTCTTCTCAATTTCCCATTTTCTTACAGTGAGGTATTGATTTTCAACATCTATTGGAAAATAAACAGCATGGAAAAAATAGCCCATTGTCTCACACATTCTTTTAAGTTTAGGTGCATAGTCCTAAAAACAAAATAAAACATATAAAAGCATAACTACTTAAATAAAGATCTATTGGGATTCACACTGCTTAAAAAAGCATGTTTTAA